TAATTGTCTCCTTTCAAGATGATATGGGTAATGAGGTTTCCGGGTTGATCGCCGGACCCAGAAAATAAGGGGAAGTTGGTTCCAATCTCACTGCATCATCTCCCATAGCAACGAGCTATACACGCTGGTGCTGCTCGTTCAGAGAAAGAAGAGAGACCTGCGATCCAGTAAGGTAAACATGCGGCAACGCTATAACCTCTTTGATACCATATTAAGTTTGAGTTAATGAAAATGATATGGAAAAATAATTCCCTTAACTTTCATTGATCGGGAGTAGAGTATATACACAATCTTTAAGCCCTAGGTACACGGCCCATACAAACAGGATTAAGGCTAATTACAAAATGACAAGGCTAATGAACTAATGACTAACAAATACAATTACAAGCCCAATTCGGTTTAACATGAAGTCTAAAGACAAAAGATTAAAGGGTATATATGAAACCGTCAATTGTGGGCCTGTGGCAGATTGGCTAAAGAATAAGAATAATTGAATACTACTGCATACTCTAGTAAATAGAGTTGAATTATTTTCTTTCTCTTTTACTCGAAGTTTCGGCCAATTGATCTGGCACTATGGCAGATCCTAGTTATTTGGGATTTAAAATCAATTTTGTTACTATTTTAGTTCAGCTCCTAGTTAGGATTGTACACGGTATCAAGTATTTTGTATCCCTTATATATGTATTGCCGTATTGGATACGATAGTATTTAAGATATGGGAATTAAGTATTAGTGCATTACAAACTTACAATATTGGATGAATACATGAAATTATTAATTTTATGATACCGATAGTAGTAAAATAGTAAATTAATTGATTTGTTTGTGATTTTGTTACTTTGTATTATCTATGAATATTGTCATCAAAGCATCTTTAGTTTAGCATGACGCCATGACGGGAAAGCCGAAATTTGAATTAGGGTGTTCAAACTCTTTCATATAGCAATAGGGTCGTACAATATTTGGTTATACAATAGGGTGTCATAAATACAAGTTTGTGGTGTATTTTGCATATGTTTGCATCATTTCATTTAAAAACTTATCCTTGTGAATATGTTTTTATCATTTGGTGTTTTGTATTATATTTCTCTTTTCAATATGATTTTTGCATCGTGAATTTTTTGTCTAGGGCCTCCGAAATGCTCAAGACCCCCTACTCAATGCTTCACGAATTCTAAGTTTGATTTGATTAAATTTAATTAACACTAAGATGAACGACTTATGTGGTTTACTTAATAGAGATGAACACTTGGATTTGCTTTTATCCACTTAATGAAATGTTCGTCGATCCCGATTATATCTTTAACTATCTTCCTCTCGAATACTCAATTGGGGAGTATATCCAGTTCATTGAGGGTAGTTATGAATAAAGAGACACGTTCATTAATAAAACTTACAACCGAGTTAATATATGGACACGCGCCATATATTATCCCGATAGTAGCAATAAAATCAAGATGAAAATGATTGAGATTGATAACCTCAACACAAGAGGTTTATCGGTTTAATCAATATAATTAATTCCCCTTCGGTTATTAACCATGAAACGCATGCATTAACAACACAAGTTTACTACCGTGAAAGGACCGAATTAATAACAAGCGTATTAATCGATCGATTCTAGTAATAATTAATATATGAAACAAAACTAGTTGATCCTTTAAGTAATGCTCAAAATATTAATATGAAACATGAATCGGAATTAATTAATATTCAAGGAAGAAGATTGAAGAAAATGACTCACAACTTACAATTCATTAATTAAGCTTCAAAGTAGCAAAACCAAAATGGAAGAGTTAATGTCGGGGTATGTTGGGGTACCCGGTCAGGTACATGAGCTTTATACCCAAATCTGACCCCAAATCAGCCACTTTTTCTTCCCCAAACCCATCATTTCATCTTCTCCACCCCCACATTTTCGAACCCCCTCTCCAAAATCCTCCATTTCTTAACATTCTTTCTTCTATTTCTCAACATTCTTTATTCATAATTTAGTAAGTTGCTGTTTGTTTTACTCTAGTAATAATGTGATTTAAAATATGAAAAAGGTTACTCCTTATACGATATATCTTTCAAGTCTTTCCCAAGTTAAAAATTCTTTATTGCAACTAATAGTTGTATTAGTTCCATTTTGTCGGTTTAGGAACAATGTGTCCTCGAATGTCACATATCAAATATTTCAATAATTATTTTCTAATTGTCTGCTTTAATGATTTCTTTGAAGTGTCATACTCATATTTGGATGACAATATTGGTTAATTTTACTAATATATTTTTATATAAAAATATTATAAATATTTACACGCCATCCCCAAGGCCTAGTGTGTTTGTATTGCCCCGGGCCCAAAAAATGTCAGGACCGGGCCTGCGCATATTTTTGCAGTCATATGAATGTCTAAAAACAAACATAATCATATTTAGAGAATAATATTGATGATAATAATTTACTATGTAGTAATTTTCATATACACACTGCACCCATATACACATAAATTCACTTTATTAGGCTAACTGGACAACTTTGCTGCATTCAAAAAGCTTATGCACATGCTGCCCAACGAGCTGTCAGCTGTGGAATGTGGATAACATTCAATATAATATTATGGAGTATAATTCAACATATTGTAGTGCATAGATATCACAAATCAGGATAGAGGGAAGCAGGACAGGAAGCTAAGCTTCATCGATAAAGACACACAAACCCGTATATTGTTTTTTTTTAATACAAACCCGTATATTGTATGCATTTGAATATCAATTTAGGACAACTCGAATCAATTAAATGATCGAGAACAAGATATGAGGAAAGAAATGAGCACACCGGATTTGATAAGCAGTGTGAAACATAAATGGGCAGGTCATGAATGGATGAGAATGTGTATGGTTTCAAGTCATTTTCATTTCCCTCGCGAAGCACCATTCTCATCGAAACTACGCCCCAATTTAACATACGTAGTATTTACAGAAATTGTAAAAAAGTTAGTTCACTTAAACTTTAAAGTAACTAAGATATTGATCAAGATCACAAATCCACAGTATGAATGTGAACTAATCAAAGGACATCCACATGTCCTTAACAAGACCTCAATATGTCCGTAATGGACCTTAAACTTCGTACTACCGTACCGTATGAATATGTATGATGGACTCATGGACAATAATTGTAGGAATGAAAACTAATTTTGTAGGTCTATAGTTTGAATAAAAATGAGTTATTAATTGTTAATGTATTTGTCCTACTCCTACATCAAAAAGTTACTCGTATAAGGCAATAAAAACTACTACCTCGGTATTTAGTTGCTCTCTATATTAGGTTTGGGCACAAAGTTTTAGGATAAAATAGTAGGGGTAATGAATAGTGTAGAAAAAGTAAGAGAGAGTGTGTAAAAGTATGAAAGAGAAGATAAAAAGTGCAAAAAGTAAGAGTAGTTGAATATTTTTAAAGGAAAAAACTTACCAAAAAGGGAAAGTGTAGCAAACTTTTAAATACATCCCAAAAAAGAAAGTCTGGAAAACTTTAGAATACAGAGGAAGTATATAAGATTTTGGGTTACTCATCATATCAGGTTGAGTCTTTCAGATAGAATATCAGGTCTTAATATGATATCAGAGTCAAATCCGATTGTGATTTGACGGTTTATTTAAAACCTATGAGGCTATGATTAATACTCTCTCCGTCCCGCTAAGTTTGTCTTATTTTATCTTTTTCATCCATCCCACTTAGTTTGTCTCATATCATACTTGGTAATATTTCAGTGGTTAGAATTTATTCTTAGTTTATTCACACTTTATCAATTTAATACTAACTACACAATTCTATTTTTTTCTTAAAAACTCCACCGCACTCCTTTGTCCCAAACTTAGGGGGACGGAGGTAGTAGTGGCTTGTCAATGGGGCGTATTAAACTTTGGGCATCTGACAATTAAACATTATGTAGATTAAATATTTTGACATTTGACATGATTTGCGTCACGGATGTTGTAGGCGATTCAAATAAAAAAGGTTTATTTTAAAATTTATTTCCTTAAATAAAATAATGTTAATTAAGATCTCTCGAAGAAGCGTGCTTCTTAGAATGTGGGGATTTGTATACGTCACATTACAGATGTCTGGCACATCTTTACATTTTTTCACTTATTATTGTCATGTCACCACCACATAAGATAATCTCAAATAATCTCCAAACCAATAAATTTCTCTTCATTCATGATCTTAATTTACCTTAGATAAGCATAAGCTTAAAATAATTACAAAGTTAGTCATCATCATAATTATGAGTGTATGTCTAGATGTTGGAAATAATCTCAAAATAATTCAGCTTTAAAATTTGATACTAGATTAATCTCTTAAAGTAAATCAGAACTCTCCATCCATGATCCCAAAAAAATCATCCACATCATCAAAATAATCTCAAAAATAATCTATGGACGTGGATGACGCAAGCATGTTTTGTTTGCCATTCCTTCTCTTGGTTGAGGCACTCCATTATACTATTACTACGTACGGAGTAGTTAATAAGGGTGCTTTGCTTGTATACCCACTCAATTATTTTCTTTAGGGGAAAACACACTTTTGATCTTCAATTCATACTCAAATTAAAATGCCATTCTCATATTTTTATTTTTGTAAATGTGATCCCTAAACGGTTCAATTTTTTTCAAATGTCATCCTCTTGTGTTTTTTGATCTAACATGACATTCATTGTTAATAACAGAAAATTGGACAATTGGAGATCACATTTATAAAATTAAAAAAACAAAGAGAGACATTTCAATTTGGATACTAACTATGGCTGAAATTTCCTCTTTATAATACTTGGTATTATTACTATGAGCTATATTAGCATTAATAATTGAAGTATACTTGTGGATATTTGACTTTATTTTTAGTCAAACCCAATTTAGAACATGAACCGGTCATAATCGTTGACAAAAGTAGAAGGCTACCATCTTTGAAAATTCCTAACCGGCTTCCTTTTTTCCGCGTACAAATAACAAATCTATCCAATACTGCTGCTTATAAATAACTGGGACCATCCGCCCACTTCCTTCAATTCAATCACCCGACAGCAATGGCGGCTTCATCCTCCATTGTTGAGCTCCTTTCATTCTCAATCCTTCTGTTTCTCTGTTCTTCATCTTCGGCCCAATCCTTCCGCCCTAAAGCTCTAGTCGCCCCTGTCACTAAAGACGCCTCCACTCTCCAATACCTCACCAGAATCAACCAGAGAACACCACTTGTCCCTGTCAACCTCGTCCTTCATCTCGGCGGCGAGTCCCTGTGGGTTGACTGCGACGGGAAATACGTCTCCTCTTCTTACCGCCCGGTCCGGTGCCGGACCGCCCAGTGCTCCCTCGCTCGGTCCATCGCCTGCGGGGACTGCTTCTCTGCTCCCCGCCCTGGCTGTAACAATAACACCTGCGGCACCTTTCCTTATAATCCCATCTCCCTCACCTCCACCAGCGGCGAGCTTGCGGAGGACGTCGTCTCCGTTGCTTCCACCGACGGGTCGACTCCGGGAAGGCCCGTCGCGGTCTCCCGATTCCTCTTCACTTGCGCTCCGGCTTTTCTGCTGAAGGGTCTGGCGAAGGGCGCAACTGGAATTGCGGGTCTGGGTCGGGAAAAGGTCGGAATTCCTTCACTGTTCTCGTCTGGTTTCAGCTTCCGCCGGCAATTCGCAATTTGTCTGACTTCATCGACCGGCGTTGTCTTCTACGGCGACGGGCCGTATAATTTGCTCCCCAACATCGATGTATCAAAGCTCCTGACCTACACTCCGCTGTTAATCAACCCGGTGAGCACCGCCGGAGCTTCCTCTCCGGGGCAACCGTCGTCGGAGTACTTCATCGGTGTCAAATCGATCCAAATCGGGGACAAGGAAGTGAAGCTGAACACGTCCTTGTTGACAATTGACGGAAAAGGAAACGGAGGGACGAAGATCAGCACCGTGGATCCTTACACGGTGATGGAAACCTCCATCTTCAAGGCGGTGACGACGGCGTTCGTGAAGGAGGCCGCCGCGAGGAACATTACCAGAACGGCAGCGCCGGTGTCGCCTTTCGAGGTGTGTTTCGGTGCGGAGAACATTCTCAGCACGCGTGTGGGGCCATCGGTGCCGTGGATCACTCTGGTTCTGGGAGGGCAGGGTGCGAAGTGGACGATCACGGGGGCGAATTCCATGGTGGACCTGCGTGATTCCGGGAAGAATGTGCTGTGCCTGGCGGTGTTGGACGGAGGCCGGCACCCTGGGGCTTCAATCGTCATCGGCGGTCACCAAATGGAAGACAATCTTTTGCAATTCGACTTGGAAGGTTCGAGATTGGGTTTCAGTTCCACACTATTAGGAAGGCAAACCAACTGCGCCAACTTCAATTTTACATCTTCAGCTTAAATAAAAAATCAACCATTTCATAACACTACAATAATGGCCTTTTTACAGAGCCAGGAATGTCAATTTTGCATCGGCGATCAGCTTAATAATGTCATCTTAAATCTCCAATAATCACTTATGACAATCCAATTTGTGTCCCTTTAGCCCTTTACGTATATATTGATTAATTTGCATCCTAAGTTAATTACATTTATTACTCTTAAATTTAAATAAACTCAATCGATATATTTTAGTAATAAAATAAAAAAGAAATTATATGAATAATAAGTAAAATCACTTTTGAGGTTATCTCCCACTCCAAGGGCTTTGGTTGGATCTTTTAGGGGTATACTAGGTATTTGCTTTTAGATTGTTGCAATGTTATTTATTTGTTTTCCATTCCTGTAATTTATGTAATTATGTTGATTTAAAATGTAATCAATCAGTAATGATAACAACTTTTGTTTGACAACATAATTAAATGGTACTTTGTCGACCTAGTAGGAAGAGGTTGCACAAGTACACACCATTTCGATCATGTGTGGTTGAAACCATTGTCTATACCTATGTTTAAAACATTGATCCCCTAAAACCCAGTTTGGTTAATCTTGTCGACCCGGAAAAACCCGATCTAGACCCGAACCTGAAAACCTGATAAACACGGAAAAACATGCTTTTGTTTTTTTTTTTTTAAAAGTGTTTTGTTTATTTTAAAACATTTTTAATTATAAAATTCCAATTTTAATACTCTGTATTTATATATGAGTAGTACTTATTTGTTTAAGAATAAAAACATGTCAAATTATATAATAAATGCAAAATAAAAATAACAAATTTAGAGTATCGTTATATATTTAAATTAGAAAGATCAAAATAGTATTTTGGAATATTATGAGACCATTTTAACTTTTGAAATGTTTAGGATGTATTATCATTAGTTGATTATAATGAAATAATTACCTTTTATTTTAATTTTGTATCCAATTATATGTTTATTATATCTATTATTATTATTATTATGTTGACCGATTTTATGACATTGTCCTGGTTGACCTGATCGGATTCGAGTTGACCCGTGAACCGGTCACGCGGCTTGATCATTTCCTGGTTCAGTTTCTTAAACATAGATTTGGACGTTAGACAATGAAAACGTACAATTATAACTCAAATCGATAATTTGTTGGATTTAAGAAAAATGTAAGGCTGAACTATGAGTCTATGACCTAATTACTTAGAGGATAATAATAATTTACTAAATTTCATACTCCCTCCGTATTACTGTTATTGTCACACTTTCCTTTTTGGGTGTATCAATATGATTCACTACAAGAAAGGTGACATTTCTTGATACACACAAAGTGTCAAGAAAAATAGAAAAAGTGTCAATAAAAAACCCTATGGCCTTCTCCAACACACATACAAAGTGTAACTAGGAATGGTGTTAGGAAAAACCTTTCTTGACACTCACATACATGTGTTGGCAAATCTCTTTGCACTTTTGTTAACACATAAATGTGTCAAGGATTTGATTATTTACCAAACAACTTTTGTGTGTCATGAAAGATTAAACATGACACATAACTGTCAAGAAAAATTGTGAAAATTGTGTTGATTTATTTTGAGGCACGATATGTTTATTTTTAATTAATAATTGTATAATATGCTTATATTAGTAATAACAAACGTGGGGTACTAAATACTACTGTAGAGAGAAACTTGCATCTCACTTGAAATATTTGAAAACCTACATTATTGAAGTAAATTTTACAAAGCAAGAAAATTTAAAAGAACTTACGCCATAGATTTAAAGTTTTTCCAGAAACTAGGCAATGCATTCATACTGAAACTTACATCATAGAAATAAAGTCCAAATAAAAAACCTAAAGTTTGAGCAATGCAAATTGCAATTCCCCATAAAATCAACTATATGCCTGATCTACAAATAGCTTCTTAAGATCGATGTCTTCCCGTTGATGATGGCTCATTTGTAGGCGATAGTTCATCAACAACCTGAAAAATAACATAATTTAGTCAGAGGTAGAAATTAATAAACAAGCCTGTGATATAAATAAATAGGATCATAAATTTGTAGTAATACTTGCCTATATAACTAAAAACTTACAACTGCATATTACAAGCAATTAACCAAAGAAAATACTGGACAGAGGTAGAAGTAAAAGAAAATATACTACAAATTTATTAGAGCCACAAATGCAGATTTTTCCAGCTTCTAGTTAAGAAAACAAAAATCGGATAATTTGTTGGATTTAAGAAAAATGTAAGGCTGAACTATGAGTCTATGACCTAATTACTTAGAGGATAATAAGAGCATCCTCATTCATGAACTTAAAATAAATGGTTTTTCTATGACACATCATTGCCACATCACATTCATTAAATAAATTTTAAATAATCTCACATCTTAAAACTCTTCATCAACCATGATACTCAAATAATTAGTTTTTCTAGACCATGCATTAAATGAAATTTAACTACAACAAAAAATAATCCGGGATTCAAATCTTGATACCGGATTATCTTTTTCAATAATCTCTCTAAATAATCTCTCTCACACAATGATAATATTTAAAATAATCTTACCCATCATCCAATTAAACTCTAAATAATCTAAAGAATGGGGATGCCCTAATAATTTACTAAATTTCATACTCCCTCCGTATTACTGTTATTGTCACACTTTCCTTTTTGAGTGTATCAAAATGATTATATTGTATCACTTCTATTTTTGCAAATAAATCCACTCAAAACGAAGCTACAGTGTTGCTACGTACAGTACTGCTACAGTGCTGCTACAGTACTAAAAAACTCATACTTTTTTTAAAAAAAATGTACAATAAACCTATAAATTTTCTTAAACTACTACAAAACCCTACTGGGACAATAAAATTGATACAGAGTATATATATACACAGCACAGTAGCACACATACACATATGTATTCACTTTGTATTAGGGAGTGTTTGCAACAGCTTAAAAAGCATTTCTCAGCTTTTGGCTTAAAAAACACTTATTTACCAAATACTACCAATTTTTACTTTTTCTCGGTTTACATGTGAAAAGTGTTTTCCCCCTTTTCTATTACACAAAAAGCACTTATTTTACCAAACACTACCAACTTTTACTTTTCAAAATCACTTTTTTCTCAAACACTATCAATTTTTACTACTAATCACTTTTTCCTTACATCTCCAAAAGTGCTTTTTTTAAGCAGAAGCAGTTGCAAACAGCACCTAGTAGTCTAACTCCACAACTTTGCTGCATGCAAAAAACTTATGGACAGGAAACTGTGATCTGTGGATATTGGATAACATTCAAATATTCAATCATTCAATACTTTGTAGCGCATTGATAAAGTTAATTCGAGTACAGGGAAGCAGGACAGGAAACTTCATCGATCAAGACACAAACAAATATGCTTATCCTATCCTCCATTTTTTAATTCTTGCAACAGTTTGACTTTCACGTTTGACAACACACAACTTTGACTGTAATTATATTTAATTATATATTAGTAAATATTATAAAAAGTTGATATTTTGCAGAGAATTATTGTACTAATTAGTCAAAATATGCAACCAGATCCATGCGTACTAGTAGTGATGAGTAGAAGAAAACAGAAAAGTCCACGAAAATCTTTGATCAGTAGAAGAGACAATTGCAGAAAATTATTGTACTAAGAATGAATTAAAAGTTTACGAGAATTCATGATTTTAGAAGTCAATAAGAATGAATGAAAATTTGAATATGTCTGGACTTTTATAGACTTTTAAAAGTCCACTGAATACACCTAGACTTTTGTAGACTTTTAAAAGTCCAGATTAAATACACCTATTTTTTTAAAATTCATGATTTTGTAAAATTTTGCCATTAATTTTTAATAAATACACCCCCTAAATCGGTAATTTGCTGGATTATTAAAATACAATGCTGAACTATGAGTCTATGACCTAACTACGTACTTAGAGGATAATACTAGTAATTTACCAATTTTCATATATATATATATATATATATATATATATATATATACACACAGCACATATACACAAATATATTCACTTTAAAAAAAACTTATGCACGTGCTGCCCAACAAACTGTGGTCTGTGGATAACATTCAACCATTCATCACGTTGCAGCGCATGGATAAAGATAATACGAGTACAGAGAAGCCCGACAGGAAACTCATCCATAAAGACACAAACAAATATACTTATATGTATTTGAATATCAATTTAAGAACGTCTTTGGTAAGTCTGTTTTTCGGTGTATTTGTGAAGTTTTCGTCAAACACCTAATTTTGAATTTCAGTTGTATAATAACACTAGAAAAAATAAAGTTAGAGTTGCTTTTTCAGATTGGATTCCTTGAAATTACCGTAGAAGATTATTATAACTATTCTTTCATGTATTTTTTACTTTATTTTATTAATAAAATACATTTTAAATATACGAGTAATTTTTTATAATTCAGTAGAATTAGCCAATCCAGACATCTCAGTCATAACTTCATAAATTTCAACAAAAATAACTTATTTCGCCAATCCAATACTATCAAACCGATACTAATAAAAATAAATTACACAACTATTACTACTTTAAATCTTTCTAACAAAAATGTGACTACTAATTAAAATAACAGTGTGATTTCCCTAAAATTTCTCTAAGACTATTTGTAGTGGTTAGGAGGCTAGAAAGTTAAAAATGGACTTCATTCATATGAAAACAGTGTTTAGACTCATATTTCTTGCATCTCAGCACTGTCAATAAAATGCACTCAGCATATTTTTTCACATATCAATTTAGTAAAACATTTATTAAATTATTATAAATAATATTTTCAATTTAATTTTTCCCCAAATAATTATGATATAAAAAATACATATTTCGATGTAAAAAATAAATAAATTTCATTAATTTTTTTTGCATTTTTCGGTTAACAAAAAATGAACTTAAATTAGTCCAAGTAAAGTTTTATTATGAAATATTCAGTTATTTGTAGAGGGTCTATGAATTAAAAATTTATGTTTTGTGTTTTTTCCGGCTCAAGAAAACTCCAATAGTTAAATGTGCATTGCCATGATTCAAATTGACGCTAATAATTTGTAATTAAACAAATTAAACTCTTTCTGCCAATTTTTTTTGTGATAAAAGAGCGGCTGTTAAATTAAAATCAAGAACACATACAAGACAACCTTCAGACAGAATTTACAAATCCAATCGTGAACCCTAAGAGTAGACTTAGCAGTGACGGACCTAGGCATCGAGAGTCAGTGTATGCACATATCATAAAGCAAACAATATACATTGTTATTTTAAAAAAACAATGTATTGTTTCCTCGCCAGACCAGACCAAATCAGACTTAAACAGGCCTGAACAGATCATACCAGACTTCTGTAGTTATAAAATACACAAAGATGTAACATTTACTAGACTAGACCAGTTCAGACCAGA